GCCTAGCAACCTGGTGGTCCAGTACCCAGCATCGGCTCGTAAGCATCGCGAGCTGACGCGCCCATCGCAGCCTGGAGGCTTCACCTCACCACGGTCAGCACCGACTGCTTCCTTGGTCCCAAGAAGGAGTCCTGGGAGAAGAGGTTTCAAGAATTCTGTTTCATCTGCTATTCTTCTGGCCTGGCGAGAATATTATTTCCCCAAGAACCAGCTGCTGCCACTTTCCCATTCATCTGAGAAATGGGCATCAAGGTCTTGCCGGCTCTCTGCCGATCACAAGAAAGATGAATTCTCAGCCCTCTCCTGTGGGCGGGATCCCGAGGGCCACGGCCCCTACCTGACCCTTAGCTTTGGCATCCACAACCCCAAGGTCTTTTGTGCTGCATTTAAGGAACTACAGACCATGGAGGCTGGAGAGCAGGAGTCTTTGAGTCAGTGCGAGGGCAACAAGACTGCACTGTAGCTCTCCCCATACTCCCTGGTCTAATACCCTTGGTCATCGCTGAGGATTTCCTTGGGAGAAACTGTGACTTTGTCCTTACAATGCATCTGTCATAATTTATCCAGGGAAGTGATTTTACCCTTGGTAATGGCCATTTGCCATGACTGCAGGTGACTTTCAGAGCGAGTGAATGTTTACACACAAGTTGGAACTAGAAGGAACTTTCAGGTTCAGCCTCCATCGGTTAGGTAAGGAATTTTGATCTGTGCCAGAGACTGGGACCTGTTCACCACCCAAATCAATCCCCTCCTAATACTGGAAACAAAAGTAGATCACCCCTGTAGCCTCCCTGCTCTCAGTGTGTCCACAGACTGAAGTTTTTCTCCAGGGCAATGTGAGAGGAAGTGTCCCATTCAAAACTCCCACACGTGGGACCGGCCTCGTGGCCCAGCGGTTAAGTTCTCACGCTCTGCTGCGGTGGCCCAGGGTTCTCGGGTCCGAATCCAGGGCACGGACCAACGCACCGCTTGTCAAGCCATGCTGTGGCGGCGTCCCATACAAAGTAGAGGAAGATGGGCATGGATGTTAGCTCAGGGCCAATCTTCCTCAGCGAAAAGGATTGGCAACAGATGTTAGCACAGGGCTAATCGTCCCCACCAAAAAAAAAAATCTTGATTGAATACATATCTTCCTTCTTGAGGGTTGTTGTGATATTTCAATGAAAGAATCATTTTGGAGAGATCTCGACATGGAAAAGCTAGTTAATGGAAGTGAGAAGATGCTGTCTCAGCCCTTTCCTCCCTCTCATTCTAAGAAGCTTGAACAATTTGTGGAACTAGTCACTTGTCCAGGGTAATGGAAGCAGGCTATTGTAGATATAATGGAATCCCTAACAATGGAGAATGACATCCATTTAATTTGAAGCCCCATCTCAGCATCTTCCTCAACCCCAAAGCCAACCGATGAACCTAGAAAACCAATGCACAGGAACTTGTCGTCTCTGGGATTGGTGTTTAAATGAAGCAGCAGGCCACAGTGAGGATACAGGGAGGAGATGCTCTCACGTCGGAGGTGTTTAAAAAAAAGATGGCAACTTGGATGGTTTACTTAGGTGATCTTTGAGGTATTGTCCAGCTCTAAGGTCTGTGATCCTTAAGAAAATAAACAGAACTTTAGTTTCATCTTTTCTTGATTCCTGTGCCTCCCCAAGCCCAGTGGAAGCACAAATCAGGAAGAAAATGGCCCCCCAAAAGCACAAAATAAAATAAGAAAGAAAGAGATGTGCTCAGTGACCTCCAGTGCATGAATACTTCATATTTAAGCATCTTAGCCTAATGTTGCTAGGGGAGAGTCGAGGCATATTGACATTTAAGCAATGTCCTTTTAGCGATGCTCTGGGTTCATTGTGCATTGTGGTTGGGGCACATGATGATTCCATCATCTTTGCACAGATTTGTATGGATTTTTTTCTCTCTTTTAAACATAGCATCTTTTCCTCAAAGGACTTCAGACGTCGTTACAGAAGAACCTGTGGAATCAGACCTGGATTTGAATCTGGGGTGAGTTAATATTCAGACTGTGTTTCTTCATTTTAAAATTGGGGTTAAATATGTACTTTACATGGATGTCTTGAGAATTATCATGAGAAATCATTAATGCAAAGGGGCTGACGGAATAAACGCTCACATCCATCTGGCTCCTTCCCCTCCATTCTCCTGCTAAGATGCAGGATGTCCAGTTTGTGGGGCTGTACTCCATGGTGGTGACCAGGACTATCCATGCCACATATAAGTACTGCAGGGGACTTGGGTGGGTAAATGAGCAGCCACAGGGCTTCATTCTGCCAAAAAAGAAAGACTGCCGATCCTGCAAAAGTCCAGGTTATGCCTGCAGAGCACAGAAACCTCAAAAGATAACAAAGGTTCTGAGGAGGCTGTTTTTAAGTGGCTTCCTGCTGAGAGACAAGCTTTCTGGGAAGGTTTATTTTAGGCCCATTGTAGCTGTCCACCTGATCTCCTGCATTCCTTCTGGTATTTATCCCCATCTGCTGGTACAATATGAAAGACGCCTTTCTCAGGGGCACAGACAGCGTTGGTAGCCTTTTTGTCAGAGCACCATGCAGAGACTCAGGCCGGCACAGAGACCTGGGAGGAGGGAGAGGAAGGGAGAAATAGGGCTTCTTCTTAAAGAAGGGGTATGTTATTTTTAGTTTCAGCACGAGTTGTTTAGTTTTGTTCCTCCTGGAGTCACCTTCTCTTTAAAGTGACCTTCTGGTCTGGGAACTATCAGGTTAGAGACCTGGATTATGGTAACAATTTACTCCATGCCTACAGCTCAAAACATCAACCATTGTTTAATTTAATCATGATTCTGCCATGTGGGCAGGGCTCAGCAAAACAGCTTGTCTCTACTCGGGCAGCATCACCTGAGGCAGCTTGAAGGCTGGACAGGTGTGACTCAGTGGCTGGAGCCTGGATAGTCTCAAGGCGTCACTCCCTCACCCATCTGCTGGCTGATGTGGCATGGCTGTGGCCTCAGTGAAGGCTGTTGGCTAAACACACACATATGGCTTCTCCATGTGGCCACTTGGCTCCCTCAGAGCATGATAAACAGGTTCCCAGAGGGAGCAACCGAGGAGACAGGGCAGAAGTTGAACTGCACTTTCTGACCGACCCTTGGAAGGCACTTAGCATCACTTCCACCCTTGTCGCAAGCCTGCCTAGATTCACAGGGAAGGACACAGGTCCCTTCCCTCAGTGGGAGCAGTGTCAGTATCACCGTAAGATGGAGACCTTGCCGTGGCCGGCTGGAAAGTAGCTATCATCTGCCACCAAGAGGAACTGGTGGGGGAATGAGGCATGGGTTGGTTGTTGGAGAATTAAGGAAAGTCAGAGCTGTCTTTTTCACTTTAAAGATACAACTTTCAAAAACTGGAATAATGGATTGGGGTGTGTGGAGAAATGGCAGTGTAATGGAAAATGGAAGTAGAATTTTTTTTAATTTCATTTATTTGGGACACATTGTAAAATGAAGAGCCCAAACTATTTTACACCAGAGAATAAAGTCTTGCTTAGAAAGGGCTTCTCCATTTCAAGGTTATTTATTCATGATTTTTAGGATTTCTAGTATTTTTATGGTTTAAGTTTTGATACATTTGGAAATTATTTTGGTGAAAGGAGGGAGGTAGGAGTTCAGACTGATGTTTTCCCAAGTGATTAAAGTTTTACTTGATTATATACTAAATTCCTATATATTTCTGGACTCAATTATTTTAATCTACTTTCTTACCCTCCCGAGATAATTCTCCAACCCACGAGCTCTGGGCTGAGACAGACCTGGGTGTGAACTCAGAAGCAGCTGAGCCATTGCCTGCTTGAACTCTTGAAGCCTCAAGTTCCTTCTCTATAAATTGGGGATAAGTCTACATACCTCTTTGGGTTATTTTCATGATTAAATGACTTCACATGTTCTGCAAAGTTGGTCAGCATTCATTCCCAGCTCCTGTGCAGGCTGGGTTCTGGGGAGCCGGTTCTGAGATGGAGACTCACGTGCAGGATGTTTATTTGGGAGTGCCCTGGGATCAACAGCATTTGGAAGGGAGGGGCCCGATGCAGTACCAAGGCAGGGGGAAGAGTCAAGCTGCAACGCAGACCCAGACATCACCTCAGCCAACCTTGAGGGAGCTCTGGAGTGCCAACAGCCCTTCAGCGTTGTCCCGACTTGCACAGGTTTTCACGCGCCACATCAGTGTTGTGTGGGGCCATCGTGGAAGTGGGTGTGACCTGGGTGAGGTGCCTCTCAGCAGCCGAGCCAGTCCCCGAAGGAACTGACAGCTAGAGGCGGGTTGACAAGTGCCTCCCAGCAGCGGGGCTGACAAGTCCTTTGTTAAAAAGGGATCTTGGTTGCACATCCGTGTCCACCACAGCACCTCATTCAAACACTTTTTGTTCTCCTCTCCCTCATTTCCAACTCTGAGTAAAGAGCAGTTCAGCAAAGCTTCGTGCAGGAAGGCTTCTTGTCCCAGAGCCTCTGGTATGCTAACATGTCAGTACTTTCTGTATCCTGGAGGCACTGAGAATACACTGAGGGTTGGGGAGGAACAGTTTTGCGTGAGATGGAGGAAAATGAGGCGATACAGCCTAAATGAAATGAGCCAAGCGCGGATCTCACGAGCCCGAAGCTTTCATCGCAGGTTAAAATACTTTTCTTTCTTTTGATAATTTTTTTTTGTCCATTTCTGGATCAAAAAATTGACTCTAAAGGGCAATGTGAATGTGATAACCAGGCTGTGGAATGATCCCGTGATAACGAGGAATCATCTTAGAAAAGTATTTGCACAGATCAAACAAGATGAGGTCATCAATTTGCTTTTCCTTTTATTATAAAAGTAAAATAAAAAATAGCATTTATAAATCCAACATTTTTTCCTTTAAAGTATTTGATCTAAAAAACATATTTACAATAGCAAAATGCAGAAAAAGGGAAAATACCATTTTCAGCACTGATTGTAACCATGTTTAAATATTGACATGTACATATTCTTTTTTCAAATCAGAGATAACCACAGCAGAAAAAGGAGTAGGCCTTTTTTATTATACACCAAGTGAGTCTTCTCATTTTAAAATATCCCTTTCTTTAATCCTTAATCTGAATGCACAACCGTGCTGTGGACGGCCAGAAAGAACCCCGGGTGGGGCTGGGACACCTTGTAATGACAGTGGGAGCGCAGCAGAGGGACAGCAGCAATGACAACAGAAAGCAGCTGGTAAAGTTCAAGAAGCCACCTCACCCCAGTGAGGCCTCCGCCCAGCCGGGGCCTGGACTGCGAGATGCTATCGTGCGTGACCCCGGCTAAAGCGCGTCTAAGAACCAGGGAAGGAAGCCGGCTTTCTAAAGCCTCGAGTGGAGTCCAGAACGGTCCAGGTGGGCAGCTTTCCTCGGAGCACCTCGGGATGCACTCGACCTTCCTTCTTTTGGACACTGTGGTGGAATTTCAGAGCTTTGGTTTACATGGTGTTGGAAATCGCCAGTGGGCTAAATTTTGCCTTCTATAGGTCCTTCCTGCCCGTAATCGTGGGGCACTTTGTTAAGAGTCAGCAGTGAGCTGCCGCTGGCCAGAGACTCTGTGAAGCTGAGTCTGCGGAAGGAGGTCTCCACGCCGCTGTCACAGACGCTGTCCTCCCGGAGCTCGTCTGCGGGAGAAAGCACGGATCCACTGGGCACAAGGCAGCCCTTGCTCTCGCACACCCTCCCATCCAGCTGGCTCACAGTTTGATCTGGAAGGTGTGCGGGCTACTTTTGCCCAGCAGCCTCCACAAGTCTCCAGCGGGGTGAGGGGCAGTAATGGGGAACCTGGGATGACACCAAAATTAGCCAAATGTTTTCACATCTCTTTCTTGCAATCTAGTCTCATGTTTATCAGAATCCTATCTGAATTCTCTTGACTCAAAGTGCACCTTTTTTTCCTTAGAAATCAGGTGTGTTTTTCGAACCACTGTATTACCTATTTTACAGCTGGGGAAACTGCTGGCCTAAGAACTAAAAATGAGCTCTCTCTCTGGGCCTCATATGCTAGTAAACACTATACGCCGCCTCAAAGACATTTCGGTAGCAGAAAAATAAGGTATTTTGATGAAAATGAGTCTATATTGGACAAGTAGGTGGAATTCTCCTTGTTGAGAAGTGTCTTCAGAGATTTGAACAATGTGAATTATTTGCTATATGGAGAGTCACTTCTGTCTAATATATGCTAATCAAAATGCCATCTTCCAGCATTAGGATATTAAGACTTGAATGGCAGTGACACGGTGACTCTGTTATTGACTGATTGATTCAATCACCCAGTATTTACTGAGTATCTATTATGTACCAGGAACTTTGAGGTATTTTAAAAATAACTACAAATCAAGGGCTTAATGCTTTTTGAGACATAAGTATTCACCTCTTTCTTTGTTTATGTGAGTGGAAGGAGCACAGGTTGAGGCAGGAGGTCTGGGTTGTTTTTCTGTGGATATGGTACTCCTTTCTAAAGTGTGTACAACACCTGTCCCTACTCCCCAAGGTGACATTGGTGCTGAAACTGAACGGCCAGAAGGGGCCAACAGGGGAGGATCTTTGCAGGGAAGCGGAAGAGTAGGTTCAAAGGCCCTGAGGTTGGATCCGACTAGTGAGCTGGGGGAGCAGAAGGAACACCTGGGAGCTGCAGGGCGGTGGGGCGGAGGAAGGGCATGTGAAAGCGATGTTTGAAGTGAGAATGGATAAAGTAGGGACATTGCCTTTATTGTTCACTGCCTTCCCTTCAAAGCCTCAAAGAGCGCGAGGCACACAGTATGTGCTCAATAAAGATCTGTGGAATGGATGAATGAACTGGCGGGTATCCACCAGGAGTAACAGAATCTCACTAACGTTTAAAAGGAATCATACTACCTGTTGTGCAGAGAATGACTGAAGGGAGGCGGACAAAGTGGAAACAGGGAGCTGCTGTAAGAATCAAGGCAAGCAGTGAGGGTGGACTGGACAGGGGTGGTTTTTGCACAAGGGTAAAACTCAACGGGCTGGATGCGTGGTGGTTAGGACCAGGAGGTCTTCGTGGGCAAGTCTTGGATTTCTGTGTTACCCTCCTGGAGGACAACAGTGCTTCTGATGAATGTGCCCAACACCGAGTTCAGATGGGGATCAAGAGTCCCTCGTAAGGACAGGGAGGGAGGGCCTGGGACGGGGCTTTGGAGGGCTGCGACTTCAAAAGGTGAGTGTGGAGGAGGCAGGGAGGTGAGGGTGCTGTGGAAAAGCCAAGGGGGACTGTTTGAAGCAGGACGGAGCAGTCAAGCAGCTGAGAAGGATGGCGACAAGATGTGACCAGACACTGGTCATTGTGCCAGAAAGCAGGCCTGGTGGCGTGGTGGGGATGGAGCTGACTGTGGGGGGTGGTCAAGCAGAGGAGACAAGGTGAAGAGGTGGGAAGAACAACTACAAAAAATTCTTTTGAAAGCTTTGCTGGGCTGGGGAACAGAGAAATTGGGCTGTTGCTACAGGGGCTGTGGGATTAAGAGAGAGTTTTTTTCTATTTGTTTGTTTTATTTTGAAAAGATGAGGGAAATGACAGCATGCTTGCTAGGTGATCCAGTCAGAAGGGAGAAACTGCTCACGCAGGAGAGAGAGGCAAGAAGTGGGGGAGCAGTTACCTGGACAAGGGGAGGGGGTGGGCTGGGGGTGAGAGGTGCCCTCCATCTGGGGCAGAGACCCTTAATCCACGCAACCCAGAGGGAAGGCCCACAAGGCAGGCACGCGTGCAGGTGGGCTCAAGAGGAGAGAGTTCTAGCTGTTTCTATGCTCTCAATGGAGTGGGAGGTGAGGACACTGGATGAGCAAGGAGAGGGAAGGGGTGTTGTGGGTTTAGAAAGAGAGAGCGAAATGGTTGTTTAGAGAGTGGGAGAGCAAATTTAAAGGGAAATATAGGGTTACTGGGCTGTGCTGAGAGTCTGCTGTGTCACATGTTTCAGGTGGGATGACAGAAGGTTCCAACAGCCGTGGGAGACAAGGTCAGTGGAAGGAGCACGGGGAGGAGGCTGGAGGAGAAGGAGAAGACCCCGCGAGGAGGAGGCTGAGGAAGTGACGGAAAAATCGCAGCATCCGTCAACAGTGTGGGATTCCTTAAACCCTGGTCTGCACACTTCTCTCGCTCTTTTAAATTTAAGAAGTGAGAGAAATCATATTTATCTTCACCACCACATCGTGTTGTTTTTCGTATTTATTGTGAATCTAAGTAACTCGTGTCAATGTGACTGTTTCTGGGGACAGCCCCTTCCCCGAAGGTGGTGTCAAGAGGAGCAGAAGGTAGACTCTGTGGGCCCAGGGGGGAGAGAGACACAGCACAGCAGAGTCAGGAGATTCAGGAGATGATGGTGGGGAGGATGTGCCACATCCCAAGAGACTGAAGACACCAGCCTGGGAGCAGGAGAATATCTCAACTGCTGTCTCCGTCTTTTGTTCTTTACCTATTTGCTGCCTTGTGGAGGCAGGCGAGAGAGGCAGCGAGGGAACCTGACAGGTGGTCTTCCCTGGGCTGGGGGCTGCAGTTCCTGAGCTGCAGAAGGCTGTCTGGATCACCTCGATGGCTTCAGTGTAGCCCATCTGTCTCAGGGCCTCCACCAGCTCTTTTACTGTCCCCCCAGAGACCTGTGAGAAAGAAAGGAAGAAAGAGTATGTGCTTGCATTCAAACCCGTGCAAGGAATAGCCAGGCAGGCTGTAAACACGCCGCCACAGCCCCTCTGCCGTGCGGCCTCCTCAGTGCCAGAGCCAGTGGTCCTGGAAAGGGCAGAGCGAGGGGGGCTCAGAAAATGCACTGTCTGAATCAGGTTTCCTGTTCCAGCTCAAAGATCTCTCAAGAAAGCATGAGGAAGAAGGCATAGTGCGGGAGGAGGGAGGGAGCAGTGCTGACGCAGTGACTCTCTTCCTGGAGTGAAGTCTATGCAGTGCCTCTGTTTAAGCCGAAGCTCTGAAAACCACTGAGAAACAAGAGGTAACAATGAGATTTTCAATAGAAAATCATGTCACCCCATGTTGTTCTACCTTTTAGTTTTAGAAACTAAAGCCTCACCAGGTAATGGCTCCACCTGGAGCCACCTCCCAGAAAGCTGATTCCATGTCCCGACACATGGTCACAGCACGTACTCGGTGGACAGGAAGATACACATGCTGACCACAGTCTCTTGTGTCTGTTCAGGGGATCCAAGTTCTGTGACCACCCTTCTCAAGGTCTTTGAAAACAGGGAAAATCTCACGGTGTCTGAGAACAGCCTTCTTGGGAAGGTGGGCTGGGCTGGGCTACCTCCCAGGACAGGGTAATGACTGATTCTCCCCTCGGAGTTAAGGGAGAGGGAAGGGACTGTGCCCGTCAGTGCTGCCGACAGAGTCCAAGACACAGTTAACCACGTCAGGGGGTGTGTTACCTCGTAGTTGTCCATGAGAGTCTTAGAAGGAGCAGGACTCAGCCGGAAGGCATTATTTAGTATCCCTAGACCTAATTTCTGTGCCAGAGTAGCCCAGTTTTTGTCTGGATCAGGGATTTCTAGCAACTTGTAGAGCTGCAACTTGGCATCTTCATTCAGCTGTTTCATGTCTCCTGAAGGAAATGAAGAAGAAACATGGCTGTCCTACCTGACCAGAGGCACCCTGGAGGGACTGATCACCACACTGCTGGCCCCCCGTGCCCATGGAGGCCATCAAGCTCCTCTACTTGACGTGAGCAGAAGGCCAGCTGATTCTAGTAGAGCACAGCTGGATATTCTCCTTTACACACCCCCAGGATCTTCTGATTCTGAATAAGCCACTTCAGAATCACAGTGCACCCTGGGTAATGCTGGTTCTTCCTCACTCTCTTTAATCCATAGCGTGGAGACGACACTGGTTAAGAGAACCTCTCTACCACAACTCACCCTGTGCCAGTAAACCATCTGATGTCAACTCGGGCTCATATGGTTTCCCATTTAATATGTCAAATACCTGTTGGGAAGAAAAACATGGGGAGACATTACACATTAAAGGGACCACGAGCGGAATCTGTTTCTTTGTAATAAAGAATTCAGCATGTCCTCCTTAGGAGGGCCTAGTACCCTAAAGATGGAGGAATGGGAAGGAGGCAGTGCCATCGCCCAGGAGGCAACACCAATGCCCTCGGGGGGAACAAGAGCCCAGAGGACTCTGGGGCGGGGAGGCTGTGCTCTACAGGGGCTGTCTGAGGTGGGTGGTGGACCCAACCCAACCTCACAGAAAGCCAGGGCCATGGTCCTTCTGAGGAACAGAGGCAGTCTGGACTGCCAAATCAGCCACGTGTTGGTCAGAGTCGTGGGTAAGTGAGGCCTCCCTGAGAGCCAGGGTGCCGGCTGAGCTGACTCAGACCTGTGAAGCTCTGCTCCCTCGCTGCACCTCCTCCTAGGAAAAGTCTTATGAGAATGAATTTTATAAATTTGCTCAAACTGAGGTGTATAAATGCTCACGAGGTTTGGTGTTAGCCTTCTAGCACTACCTACATTTTAACTGAGAGGCCAGAGAGGTCTTAGATCAAAAGAAAAAACAATTCCACAGCTATGGAGGCATTCCTGTGTTACCTGCAGTCACCTCGTGCTGGCTGACGCAGGTGAGGACAACATGGGCTCCCTGCAGTGGTTCTCCTTCTGCATTCTGTGATGAGGCTTCTGGGAAGCCAGGGGCTCAACGCAGAAGGAGAACCCTGTGGTCTCTTTGTTAGGGTCACTCAACGCAACCCACATGGCTGCGCGGAGGCAGACGAGCCATTTCTGGATGTGGAGCAGTGCTGGCCCCTAAGAAAGTCGGAGACCCGTATCCTGCCCACCTCCTGCCTCTGGCTCTTCTCCCTGGGCCAGAAAGACGTGATAACTGCCTTTCACCTTCAGATCTCAGGCCACTGGAGTTTTGAGGAAAGCTTTAAGTCTATTTACTCCACTTCTATTTATTGAAATCCTCAGAAGAATCCCCACTTTCTTTTTATGTTCAGAAATCACATACCAAAGTTCTAAGCAAACCATAACATTTATCCTAGCCTCAGAAACTGGGATGGGAATGATTCTGGTGTGAGTGCAGAAGGGGGCACACTTAGGTGAATTCTGTGTTCTCTCCTGTCTGACCCTCTCTCACAACTTAACTCTGATCTGATCAGGCATACACTTTCACACTCAGAACTCCGCTAGATCTTTCATGGATAGGCTTTTCAAGATAAATGTGGGTCTTGACAAGTCGACTTTTTAAAAAATAAAAGGCATGTGCTTTGGGGAATAAAGACTCAGGAAGACCATCTGTTCTTACATTCCTGAACCGCTAGCTCTCTCGGGAGCCACCACCAAACAGGCTGGAGCCACACTGACCTGCCAGTTGGTGGCCATATCTAGAGGTGTGGTTCCAGGCACGACTCCTTCATCCTCTCCATCCTCTTCCCAAGAGTCATCCAGGTCATAGAGAGGTTCAAAGTTCTCCACCAGGGGGTCTGCTCCTGAGAAGTCAAGTTACACGGCATTAGGGGCATTAGGTAAACCCAGATCTTGTTAACTTCCAACTGCCTGCAGGGGTCAGATTTTGAAAGGCAAAGTACAGTAGCTACTGGAGGCAATCAGTTGGATACATTTTAATACATAAAACATGTTTCTTCTGAAATATTCAGAGTACTTCTTTTAAATTCTAATTTATTTTGACTGTAAAGCTGTCTGATGATACCATATATAGCCAAAGACACTTTCAAAAACAAAAGACTTGGAATACTCTGACACTCACACTTAACTCTACAGGATAGTTTTCAACTGAATGATGCATCTTTCCTTTGAAGACTGACGAGACCAGTTCACAGGGACTGCGGTGTACCCTCAGGATTAAGGTCCTATATGTCCAAGTTCATGCCCACCACTGCCCATTTCTCAGCCTCTCCGCCCACTTGCTCGAAAGAGTAAAGACGCCTGCCGTCCAGCAACAACGTGCTCAGTTTTACTCCTTGAGCACAGCACCACCGGCCCTGATCCCTGAACAAAAAACACTGAAGACACCTTCTGCTTGGATGTATAGTTATTGAAAAATTTAGGGCCAATCTTGGAAAATCTAGTCTGTTCCTTAACCTGCAGCAAAAAAAACACCAAAAGTAACTCAAGGCTGAGAGCTAGAGTTACTTCTCACAGGCTCAGAGACTGTCTTGATGAGAGTGTTGAGCCTGATGCCTTGTGAAGAGCGGTCAGTTCAGCACACACTTTTGGGAAGGACTTGTTTTTATCTTGCTAGGAGAACATTTGATTTGTGCCAACTTCACTAACAGGAGATGAGAAATGAGAGTCACAGAAGGCTCTTGATGTCATTTCTGAGTCCATTCTCCCAGACCCAGCCTGATCTACAGGGTCGATATCAGGTGTCACCTGACCATGACAACAATGGGGAAATTAAGAGGAACAATTGACAGGACCGAGGATGGAGAGGCTGATCTACATCTGTTCCTTAAGTGATCTTCTTCATGACTCTGAGCTCTGGACCAGGTTCTTCATCTGAGTTTCTCCATTTATATAGTGGAGAATCTGTTACTCGCTACTCCTTTCATAGGATACTGAGAATTCAAGATAAAGCATTTTTGAAAAGGTTATAGCTTCTTGTCTGAAGGCATTTCTTAATTATAACCAGTGACTTCCCAAACTATTCATACATACACTGCTCTTGTTCAAGAGAAAGTTCAACTTGACAAAGGAGAAAAGAAAAGAGATATTTTGGGGAGGATATGGTTTGGGGATATGATTTTACTTGCCAGAAAAATGTAGTGGCGCCAAAGAAAAGGTTCCTACATATTCCTGGACTCAATTGTTTCTCTCTCTCTTTTTTTTTTTTGTGAGGAAGATTAGCCCTGGGCTAATATCTGTGCCCATCTTCCTCTACTTTATATGGTACACTGCCACAGCATGGCTTGACGAGCGGTGCGTGCCTGGGACCCGAACCCGCGAACTCCAGGCCGCCAAAGCGGAGCACGCGTACTTAACTGCTGCGCTACCAGGGTTTCAATTTTTTAAGAAGGTATTTAACTCGCTCTGTTTTCTTAATTTATGAAGGATTTACTTTCTAAAAAAATTTTAATAACCTCTAAAGTGAATCAGACATGTCAGAGAAGACTTGAGATACTAATTTCATTAAACATTTTTTGAGGTTCTGAATATACAAGACAACAGATATTCAAGGATGAGCAGGAATAATTTTCCATACTTCACAGGACTAGAGGATTAAATGGAATAACACCTGCAAATCCTTGAGCAAAGCAGAGGAGAGAAATAGTAGAGAGAATGAAGTCTGGAAGTTCAGATGGACAAGGTGTAATATCACAGCTGTGCCACTTCTGGGCACCCCGGCACTGGTACCCAGAAGTCCCTCCAGTCTGTTTCCTCACTCTAAGATGGGAATAATAACAACGGTACTTATCTCAAAGGGCTATTGTGGATTGAGTGAGACAGAGCGTGTGAAGTGCCTAGCACAGTGCCTAGGACGTAGAAAGGCCAATGAACACTCGCACTTTTGTGCCTCGTACATGACAGTACCAATACATGACCATTGGTTTTTTCCTATTATTTCAACTTCTAAGAGACCTTTCTTGCAAATTATTTTTTAATAATTTAAATTATTTTTTATATCAATAAATTTTTTCTTCTGGGGACTTCTGGTATGATCTGAAGCTGGTACTGCTCAGACTTCTGTTAAGAAATTAAACTCAACTTTAAGAAGACCTCTTGTCATGGCAGTTGACTTAACAATCAAAACTCCAAACAAACAGGTGAATTAGAGAGTAAAAACTAACACACCTATCAGGATGAAGCCCAAGATTACTAGTCCTACGGCAGTTAGAGCAAGAGGGCCTGAGACCTCTTATTTATCTTGCCTTCCAGCAGCAGGTTTGTGGTGTGGTGAGGGCGACTTGGCTGCTCTGCTGGAGTCGGGTTTGGTTCCTGATGACATTTTCCAGCGCTAACGCCAGGGTGCCTTACCTGCTGCTTTGAGAAGAGCTGCCAGCCTGGTCGACCCTCTCCCCGCCGCGATGTGCAGGGGTGTAGTTCCATCGTAGGTGGTGCTGTCTACGTGGGCTTCACCCTAAAACCCAGCCCACATAGACGAGGGTTAGTGGAAGGTTCTCCCACCCTCTGTTCCCACCTCCCCTGTCTGCACAGCCCCTCAGGTCATCCTGCTAGCCCAGGTGCTATCTGGGTCAGGCTCTGCCACTGAAGAACTGCCCAGGTAGAGACTCGGGGCACACGGTGACAGGAACGCCCAAAGTGGCTACTCTGAAAGCTTTGCGGAGATATTAAATAAACAGAGCTGAATGTAAGGAGAAAAGCTGCTCCTGACATCATTCTTTGAAAAGTTTTTCCTAAATCCTCCTTGGGAATTTAATGCAAAGGCAAATCAGCGTGCCCTTCACCTCCAGGAGCAGGCAGCCGGCCAGGGAGATGTTGTCGTGCTCTGCAGCCAGGTGCAGCGCCGTGCGCCCCGACTTCCGCTCCTGGGCGTTGACGTCCGCCCCGGCGGCCACCAGCAGCAGCAGACACGGCATGCTGTTGCTCATCATGGCTACGTGGATGGCATTCAGACCTGCAGCCCAAGCACAGACACAGTCACAGGGAGGGTGCGGGAGGAAGGGTGCTCACGAGGCAGCCCTCCGTGCAGTTGAAGGAAACGGCACAACTGGAGCAGGGGGAGGGCACGCTGTCGGTTTCAGCACGTCTAGTCCGAGTCTCGACTCCGGATCGTCTTTACAGGCGCTATAAGTCTACTTACTGCTTTGCAGGTAACGCCACAGACTCCTCTTCCATTCTCAGGAGACACGGAGAGCAAATAAACATTCTCTGAATAAAGGATGCTTTCTACACTTCAAGACCAGTGTTTGTCTGGCCTCTGCTTTTTCCTCCTACTAACTATTCCAAATCATCTTGAAAGGAATTAGCTACGGCGAGCAACAGAAATTTCCAGGACAGATGATGAACTCCAGGTGAGTAAGGAAAGCACTTCTGAGTGCAAATCAAATAACACACATTTATCAAACACTTATGAATTGTTTAGAAAGCAGACAGAGAAGGTTATCCCACGATGTCTCTTACCTTCCGCATTGGGGTGGTCGATAAGTAGTGCTGCCTTTTTGTGCTTGAGTAAAATATTGAGAATTTTATCATGTCCTTCTTTGGCAGCTAGGTGCAAAACCGAGTTACCCAAGCGGTCCAGGAGGCTTAGGTCAGCGCCGGCCCTCAGCAAGTCCTCCACCACAGCCTCCTGCTTGGTGATCACCGCCAAGTGCAACGGTGTCTGGGGGGTGCAGAAGGGGCAGGCGATATACTGGTCAGCGGCCAACACTTGTAACCCAGTGGCTTATTAGCTGCCACTGCACTAGGTGAACTCATACTGAGGGGCCATTTCCCATTCCCAGATTAACTCCTCACCTTTGCAAATGAGTTACTTCCTGTTCCATACTGAATGCTGGACTAACATCTAGCCATTCAATTATTAAGATTATTTTTATATTTACAATTCTTAATAGCTTTCTTGTTTCTCATTGCAGCCCACTGATTGTTGATATGTTAACTCATCTATTAGTAAATTTAGTTTTCTTGAATTTCTACTAGGACTCTATCTTCAGCTGATAATTCTGTATGTTACCAAATCAAATCAAGGCAATGGTTTTACTGAAGAAGTTTAAATGAACTACTCAACAGAAACCAATTAACAAAGGTGCTGTCATTCTATACTGACGTGGAAAATAAATTTGCTAAATTAAAAAATATTGTTCCATGAGACCAACTGATAGAACTTGCCCAGCCCCATTTTACAAAAGGTGTCAAAGAATTCTAAACGTCTCACTGAGAGGGCTCGGATGAACAAGGAGCTGAGCTGCTGACACCCAATAGGTATGTAAATAGTCCATCTGATAACCCTGCCCTCAAGTAGTACCTCGGCGAATGCAAATGAGTTGTTTTGAAAACTGCGTGTTTTCAAAATGAGTAAGACAAACACAATCACGAAAGAATCTTTCAAAGATCTGAGGTCACGGACAGAGAACAGCAATATATTTTACACAAATCAGTGTGAAATCCAGCCTGTCTAGTGACAATCTGCCTAAACTTTCCCTCTCTGTAAGCAGTTACTGGCTGGAGCATCGACAGCAGGGGGCCACCAACATCCTGGCTGGTGCAGGGCGACCACAGTGCCTGAGAACTGGATGAAAGATGCTCAGGCTGTTAAGTCTCAAAGACAGGGATTATTTAATATAGCAGAAACCAGACAGGATTTTTAGCCTAGTTTGTACTCTCCCTCTTATTTTTTTCATCTTTTAGGACTATACCCTGGCTTGAAATGGAATGATGCCCTCAAAACTTTGGATATTGTAGCCAAGAGCCTTCCTCTCAAAAAATAAAACAAATAAGTAAGTAGATAAAAGCTTTGTTTATCAATCAGAAATGCTATTTGGGGAGATGGGAAGGGAAAGAGAATGAGATTGCAAAAAAGAAGATCTGAAATGATAAGACATTATACCATTCAGAGATAGGAATTATCTGTAGTTTTAATATAATTTTTTTCACATCATACAACTTCTCTTACCATGAGTAAGAGAGGTTTTTTTTTTTTTTTTTTTTTTAAAGTTTTCTCCCATGGTCCCACTGAAGGTTTTCTGTGATATTTCAGGCTTAGATTTTATTTTATTTTATTTTTTTTTAAATTTTATTTATTTATTTATTTTTTTCCCCCAAAGCCCCAGTAGATAGTTGTATGTCATAGCTGCACATCCTTCTAGTTGCTGTATGTGGGACGCGGCCTCAGCATGGCCGGAGGAGCGGTGTGTCAGTGCGCGCCTGGGATCCGAACCTGGGCCGCCAGCAGCAGAGCGCGCGCACTTAACCGCCAAGCCACAGGTCCCGCCCAGGCTTAGATTTTAAACCCATGATTATATCTTAAACAATTACACAATGTGGGGATCCAGGAATCCTTATGCTATGCCTGTTGGCATGTGGACTTACACAGACATTCTACAGAGCCAAGTATACAAATGCAAATACAAATGCCCCAGCATATATATCTGAGTGACACAAATCCACAAAGGGACATGGGTGAGGATATTCACTGCAGTATTGTCTATAGAGGTGGAAGCAAGAAGCTGGTTAAGTGTCCAATGCTGGGGAACAGGCACTTTACAGGTGGAGATGTGCACTACAGGATTCTCTGCAGGAGCAGAAACAGTGAACTAGCTGTATACACAGGTGCGCAGATAAATCCTATAAACAGTAAAGGCAGAAATACAGTGATGTAGCACAAAGCCACTTAAGCATTTTAAAATACATGTGTGGAGAACTATACAGACACACACAAATGACTGCATTACAACTGGTGAGGCCCGAATAAGATCTGTGGATGGTACCAATGTCAATGTCCTGGTTTTGATACTGTACTATAGTTACACAAGATGTTACCATTGGGGGAAACTGAGTGAAGGGTACATAAGACTTCCTGGTACATTTTTTTGCAACTACCTATGAATCTATAATTATATCAAATTAAAAATTAAAGAAAAAGGTTAATGCAGAGCAAGAGCAGTATGTATAATATAAGGTGGATTGTGTGTGAGAGTATACTAAAATACCTATCTATTTAAAGTATATATGTTTACATAGCCAATACCTGGGAAAGCACTTGCAAACACAATAGTTATATCTGGGAGTGGGGCTGGGAACATGTGTATGCTGCCAGGGAGGGCAACTTAGATTCTCCAATGTATATCTTCAGGAACCATTTTAAAAACTATGCATATATATTTATAATAATTAAAAACATAAAAGAAAAAATACAGGCACGAAAAACCCCACTAGTGTTTTATAGGAACATATGCAAATGAAACAATCCATATCAAACACACTAGAGTGGTGGTCTGTGTTGAGGGGAGGGGAACAGAGAGGAAAACGGGGTTTAAAGGGAATACATTTCCAAATTATTTTCAGAAAAATTCGAACTCTATGCACTGGGATTATTTTGAGTGTGTCTCTAGAGGGTGGGTGGGGAGAGAGATTTGATCATGACAGATGGCCACCGAAATGTACTAAGATTAGTGAAAGATATTTTGGGAGAATGTTTAAGACGATTGCCAAATAATCCAAATTACTTAGAGAACTGTGTAATTTCCCATCAAGAATAGTTAACAGAGAACCTTTACAACAGAAAGATTAGAGTCCAAATCCTAGCCTTTTCTAGTTCTCAAATCAGAGTTCCCACTGGGTGTGTTCTGGAGGCCTTGAAGGCATACCAGGGGAACCAGAATCCTTGCCCATTAAGGAGAGGAGTGGAAAGGAGGGGAAAAAATGGACCTGTATTCTCCTCAGAGTCCCCAAATGAGAAGGCACACAAGTGTCAAAGGTGGTGGTTTCAGGGCTTTCTCTCTAGCACACTGGAGAGTCTCAATACGTGTAACCAAATGATACAGCGGGAGTTCCGCACATAATAAATCACAACTATTAATCCCATCCTGTGGTGTCCTTTGCAGGTCCTATTTATAAACAGAAAAACAAGTAATTGCTTGAGTCTGACCTACAGGCCATGAAGTTGAGCAGTCTTTAAAAGGAGGACCGAGATGCGATGACCTCCACTCCTGGTTTTATTTGTCCGCTTGTGATGGTGAAAGCCCGAGAGACTCAAATGACTTTCCAAACACCAGCCACCCACAAAACGGCATGAAAATTTGAAGAAGATATCCTTTAAATGTGTACCTAAAATCAGACCTCATCCTAGTTATTTTATTTATGAATCAGTGAAGAATCCTTGACTTCATTTTTCCTTAGATCTTAAGCACTATGGCCAGAGAAGAAGCCTAAAACCCAACATCCAATGAGAAATGGTTATTTTCCCCTTATTAGGAAAACAACTATCCACAGATAAAAATCTATTGAGAGCTATATGTAAACATTTTAGTACTTTTGCTTTGAGGAAATAAAAATGATTCACATCACCTGCTTTAAAAATTGAAAACTGAAGCAGTCACCTTTACGGTGTAAATAATTATATGTGACTGTTGTCCACATTTTTAGAATGAGAGAGATGCTTGAATCGGGCGTCCAAGCATACATTTAGGCCAAGGAGGACTGGGAAGTCACTTTGGTTTGAGAGAAAACAGAAAAGCTGAGAAGGAGGCAAGATAGGAGACTGGTATAGAAGACTGGTGGGGCCTAGACAGGCAGCAGGAGGGGAAAGTGCCCAGGACAGGGGGAGGGAGCGTCCCTGGACAGCGGGACCCTAGTTGCCTCCTGCCAGTGTGGCCCTTAGCCAGAGAGGCTGGCCCAGGTCTCCTGGCTCCCAACACCCAGCATCCAGGCTCTGGTTCTGCCCAAGCAGTTTCAATCTCCTTTCCTCACCTGAAATCTGCATGTGCCCATCGGGCAGCCTCACGGAGTCTCTAGCTAACTTCTCTCGCTGCAATATCTGAAGACTTCTGTAACAGAGTTCCTCAGGTTGCTTTTGAGCCCACCTAATTTCTATTTAAACCTGATCTGGGCAAAACTCTTTGGTGTTCCCTGTCTTCCTCACTTTGAGCCGTCTTTCTGTTTTTTGAAAGAACTTTTTCCTCCTCAAGCAACCTTTTTACCTTTTTGGATTCTGATTTCAGCACCCTTTGTTTGATATACGTTTAATCTAGATGTTGTCAAAATGTGTTTCAGCAGACTTCAAAATTCTCGTAAATTATTGGCTTTTCAAACTTAATTTTTTTCAATTTTATTTTTCTTGACAGATGTGATGTATTTACGCTAGGTTCTCCCTCTAAAATGGATCGACTCTTTGACAGATTTCTTAAGTTTAAAGTTTGCCTTCCCCCAGCAGGATGCTGAATTTCACTGTGGGGTGATTGCTATTATACCCACAGATCAGGGATTCTAATTCATAAAAGAACATTCCCAAGTAATGAACTTTTAGGATATTATCTACAAAGATGTTCTGTTGTATTTTCGCTACTGTTAACATTGTTAGAAATAACACAACACACACACACGTACAAACAATGGATTTTTCTGTAGTCGTCTCCTTAGTATTTCTGCTTACCTGGTAGAGATCATTTCTCATGTTGATAATGTCATCAGAAACCAAACCAGATGTGACTTCTAGCAGGTCCCTCACAAGTTGAGCATGAAGGTGGATGATTGCTAAGTGTAAGACACTGGAACGAAAACATGGCAGTAATAATCAACTAAAATGTTAATGAAAAAAAGATTCCCAAGATACGATTACACTTGCAGACTGAATCTGGCTCTCATACCTAGCTTTCTTTGGCCCCCAAATGTTGTGCATCTATAAAATGTCTTGACTCTGAGGTGGGTGATGCTCTACTGGCTACTCAAGGCTGCTACATTCATTTATCGTGCCTGCCTGGTCTCTGGGGACATAGAGGTTTGACCCCTTGAGGTGTAAAGGTGTCTGGGCTTTGAGGCAGAGAGACCTAAGTTCAAATCCCATCTCTGCCTCTGTGCTATGGTTTTGGGGCATTTTCTCCTCTAACTTTTCCCTGACATACAGATGACGTATGTAAAATGCCTGAACTAGGATCTGTTCAAAAAAATGTAGTTACCTCACCTAGTCCTGCTACCCTCCTCCAAAATACAGTGTGGTAGCTTTTTAAGATCTTTCTAGATCCCAAGAGGGGAGAATCGAGTCAGGCTTTTAACTACTGGGAGAAGACTCTCGAGGCAAACTTTTGAAGAAACAATGTCACTTCTCCTCCACAAATATTCCCTCTGCCTGGAGTGGTTTTGCTCCTCTTCTCTGCCTGGACAATGCCTCTCCATCCTTCATATTTCAGTTCAAACCTTACATCCTTGGAGAAGACTTTCCCAACTCCCTTGGCAGTGCAAGTTGTCTCCCCTCAAGTTCACTGCTTGGCTGGGCACCTGCAGTTTTTGATACCTCGTTATCCCTCTCTGGCCTGTGATCTGCTTGGAGGCTGCAGCCCCACAGCCCTGGCACACAGTTTAGGCACTAAAATAAGGATGACAGAACAAACCTAGGGGGTTACACTAATGAGGCTGAAAATATTGGTGGATGCCAAGCATCACTCCTAGGGAATAAATTTTTTTTAATTGTTAAAAAAACTTACTATAAAAATTAATTTGAAATGACTCAACAAAACAACAATAAAAGTGGCTCCTATTGATTTAGAGCTTCTACTTACCAGACTATGCTAAGCACTTAACGTATATTATCTTATTTATCAAAACAACAATTCTATGAGGTAGGGAATATTATCCTCATTTTTCAGATGATGAAACTGAGACTTACAGGTGTAACACAACTCAATCCAGGTCACATAGCTAGTGAGTGGTGACACTGGGCTTTAAGCCCAGCTCTGTCTTGCTCCAAAGCCATCTCTTAATCCCTTAAACCATCCTACTTCAGGGGTGTACGTGCACTACTCTGTCGAGTTGTGGATGAACATCTAAGAGGATGAATACTCCAAAGTAGGGATAGATTACGACGCAGAGCACAAAGTATCACACGGTGTCAGTACATCTGGGATTTGAGGCAGAGGCTGGATTTTCTCTAATTTAAAGATATTAGGTGTCATTTTATTCAGGCCACTTTCTTAGCAATAACAAGTATATTTTACTTGGGATTAACATGGGCACAGGAGGGCCTAAAACACTAAATTGTGATTTCATGACTTGAGAGGTATTTTTAAATGAATGATTTCAGGTTTCACTATCGTCTCTTGAGATGTGAGGCTGGAAGAGGACTCCTGAGAAGGAAGAGGACGTCTGACACACACATGATGCACAAATACCAAGAAAAAGGTCATACTTCAAAAACTGCCTAAAAATTTCCATGTGCAGCTCAGCATTTCATAGCAGAAGTACAGTCTCCCTCCCCCCACCCTCATGGGAATTTCCCCAATACCAGAATTTTTTATTTTATTTTTTTATTGTATTTTCTGTGATGACTAATGGCCACAGGATTCAGACCATTAGCTGAATATGACAAGCCCAATGAAAACAAGAGGCCTGAGCTGTGAAGGCCAAAAGCTATCCCTTGTCTACATCCTTATGAGGATTCCTCTTTGGTCTTCCCAAGTCGCACCTCTCTGGCCTCTAGGTGTGGCAAGCTCCGAGGCTGCCTGCATGAGCGTGCTTGGGGTCTCAGGAGGGGCTGTAAGTATTCATTTCCTGCGTGGGCAGGGAAGGCCACCTCCTCGGCCCCTCCACACATGGCCAGGGTTTTTCAGACCTCTCTGTGCCTTCCCCTCAATGCACCCACTTGAATGCACGAGCCTTGTATCCCTTTCTACAATGCTCCCTTCAAACACCAGCTGTCCCTTTCTAACTCGTATGTGCTCCTCTTAGATGTGTCAATTAGGCAGGTCCCTAAAAACGTCACTTGAAATGCTGCTGTCCTGTCTAACTGCTTTCTCTTGTGTGTTATATGCTATTGAATGCTAATTGGATTATTTAATCCTGTAAAAAACATTCTGCTGTTCATGACATTACACAAAGAAGGTTGTACTGGTTCCTCTCATACTGTATAACAAGGCCAGTGGTTATACCACATCCTTGGTTACGCTGCAAGGAATGAGAACAAAGGTCTCTGTTTGAAACCCTGAGGTTGGCACTTTCCTAAAGCATTTGGTTCAGGTTTTAAACTGAGGTTTTAAACACAGCGCTCAAGAGCTCTTCCACAGAAAAGGATTTCTCACTACTGACATTATTTTAGGAAGGTTTTAGGTAAGGCACTTGACTTGAATCTGAGGGCTCCTATCTTTTGTTATTTTTACAGGCTTTTGAGATCATTTGAGAAGTCTCAATGAAAGGACTAAGAGAACTGTTTTAGAAAGAAGCCAAGTGGCTTTGCAAATATAAGCTCAGTAACAGCAGGAATGGGAGGCGTGGTGTCTGGAATGTTAGCCTCCCACACAATGTGGGGTGGAGCAGTCACAGAGTCGGATCCACTCACAGATGGGTGACTGTTACCAGAAGCAGCAGAGGAGGAACCAGTACCTGGGAAGGAATGACAGCTGCCTCTTAGTCATTTGGTTGCTGTAGTTGTGCCGTCTGTACTGGGCTTTTTCTTGAGTAGCCCATCATTACAAACATGCAGTTGGGATAACAAGTGCTTTGGGGATTTGGTAGGACCAAATTTCATTTTTATACTATTCCAATAAATAAAGCAAATATTATTATTCCAATAAACAAATCTTTATTAAATATTATTTCAAATTTTATTCCAATAAATAAAACAAGGCTTTTCAAAAAGCACCACTCCCCCACACACACATGCGTTTTCCTGTCCAGAGTGCTGTACTCTTAGATGAGTATTCTGGCTATACTAGATTCCAAAAGGTGAGACCCACAGATCAGGAGAAGCAAATTATGCCACTCAACCTTACTGACATGCTATTTTCCTTGAGAGAGTGTTCCAGTTACAGGACCCAATAACCTCGATCAATTCTTCTTATCTCTAGCCAGCATGCATACGATGCTTCTCTCTCTTTCCTACCCTAAAACGACACTTGTTTGCAAAAGTCCTGACTTACCTGTCCCCATTCTCATCCTGCACTGCAGTAAGATGGCGCTGGACAGCCAGCAGCATCTTCACGTCTCCTGTCACCGCATAGTCAAAAAGGGCATTGGCATGCCTCTTGGCAAGCTGCATAGCCTTCTCTAGAAAGAGGTTATCTGCAAGGCAATGACCAGATCACAGTTGAGTTTCCTATACTTGTTCTACAGGTATGGCATGCTTGAGGCCAAAACCATCAGCATCAGTGGTCTGATACCTTGACACATATCGTTTTAGTTGAAAATGCTCCTTTCAGTGCTTCTGGATTGTGTTCACTAGAAAAACCACAATTGGACATTGGCTCACTGACAAATATAGACGCTGATCTGGAAAAGCTGTCTACAGTTTATTAGGGGGAAAGGAGTTCCCAAATGTCTGTTATTTTAAGGGGAACAATCAGTCTCCAAATAATACTGATTGGATTTTGTCACAATTATAAATAATCAATCTTTTGGTGAAATAATCCTTTATTGGAGTCTTGAACAACTCTCTTGCTAGGCAAAGTGTCAAAAAACAGTCTCTGCCACAGAGAGACAGACTATCCATGAACTATTGGTATTTTTGTAAAGTTTGCTTCCTGAAGGTTAGGGCAAGTCAAATTGCCACCCACGGGCCAAATCCTTTGCGTGGTGTGTATTTATATGGCCCCCTGGCTAAGCATGGTTTGTACATTTTTAAAGGGGTGTAAAAAAGAAAGAATATGCGACAGATACCATATGTGGCCACCAAGTCTAAATATTTACTAACTTTCCCTTTACAGAAAATGTCTTCCAAGTACAATCTAGGATGACCTAGACCCATGACACATACACTAATGAGTACCAGTACAAAATACACACGAAAGAGCACTGTCCCTCCTAATCCTAATTCCTCAAAGAGGATATCAGGATGAAAGCAAAAGCTCTTATTTTCAGGCAAAGTTCCACTTCAGTACGACAGTCAAGCTACAGTCTAGAGAGGGAGACCGTTCATGTTATGGAAACTGTTCTCGATTATCTGTGGTAGAAATGAGTTAGATTATCTCTTACGATACCCTAAAGCTGCATGATGATGACTGGAGAATGCATATGTGAATTTCCATACTGTATATTCAAAGATGACACGGGAAAATGGAAACCCCAGGGTGAATAAGATGAGCTGACACATGCTTTCCCAAAGGCAGATGGACGCTGAAGAGCACATTGAACTAGATATTGATGTAGCATCTTCAGATCAACGGAAAATAAACTTTCTTCCGGAAACAGCTTCTACACCTAGAACTGACCATCTCCTCACCAACCAATACAATGCAATAATCTGGGTGCTCACTTACCCTGAAACTTGGAATTCTCTTTCTTTACTCCTGCTGCGTGCGTCAGAGTAACCTCATCATCCTCATCCCTGGACTCCTTATCTTGTGCTGTGGTTTCGGTTACTTTCCCGAAGACATTTACAGTCTCTCTGTCATCACTCTCGTCACAACTTTCAGGGTCATTTTTACATGGGGCATCTATGGTTCCCAAGATAAAAGAAAAAACATCAGCCTTTTCTCAGTAAAATCTATTAGTTAAGTTATAATTCACTTTTTCAACGAAGTTGAGATAAAGGTAGGAGGCAAGTTTACTGCAAAGAAAAAAGAAAAACAATAATTTAAAATTCCTTTTAAAATGGTCATTCAATAAGTAATACGTTTTGGAGTTATTTTAAACTCTCACTTCTGGAAAACATTTTTTTAATTGAGATACAATTGACACATACATAATATTAATTTCAGGTGTACAATATAATGATTTGATATTTATATATATTGCAAAATGATCACCACAGTAAGTCTAGTTAACTTCGTCACCATACATAGCTACAAAAATTTTTTTTCTTGTGATAACTTTTAAGATCTTAAAAAACATTTATTTTTATACTTCTAAAAACTTACATCTCATTCTGCTTATTCGTAAAAGAGAAAAATGAAGTAAAGCTCTTCTGTGAATTGCAGGGAAGTGGAATTTTTAAAGTTCTTGAAAGCAGAGCACTTATTTTTTCCTAATGCTAATTAACCAAGCAAGTGGTAGAGACGTGAGCTCAACTCCCATTCTCGTGTGGGAGCTATCTAGTCGCCACTTCCGAGCCTGCTCTTTTACTACGTTCTCTGATAGGCACTAGGAAAGCACCGAGCTTTATGGGCAGACGGGCTTCAAATAGCGGTTCTGTCTCTAACAGACAGGTGCCTCCAGCGAGTGAAGGACCCTCTCGGAGCCTCAGTGTCCTCTGTCTGTAAGATGGAGATACTAATATGCTCCTCACAGAGCAATTATGAGGATTACAGTTCACGCCCGCGGAAGCACCTGGCATAAGCAGGCATGCAGTCCAAGCGAAGACGCTGTTGTGATTTCCTCGATGGGCACATGAGAACGGACGTGTGTGAACACACGCACACATGGGTGACAAGTCACTGTGGGGTGCACTCGATGGGAAAAGGCCATTCCTATAAATCTCAAAATGTCGTCAAAAGTGTGGTATTTGAGAAAAAAAGAGAGAATAGGTAAGTTTGGTGACTTTTTCATGTTTGAATGGTCAGGTATCTCTATATCCCTTTTAAATATTCTTTTCTTCCCCATTCACGCCACTTAGAAAGTAAATATATAAATATAAACATGACATCAGGAATAGAATTTATACTCTCCATAGGAGACAATAATTTTTTGGAAAAGTCTCTTCTTAATTTATTTGCATTCATCAATTTTTTTCAAGATGATAATGTTGTGATAAGTAATGATAAAAAAAACCTTTTGGCATTAATTAATTTTTTTGTTCCTTCCTCAGGATTAAAAAAACCCAAAAAACAAACGTCTTACCATGCTTCATACCAGCATTAGATTTAGTGGTTCCAGGGTGGAAGGTAATTCCGCCATATGTAGGAAATCCGTAGTGGGGAAAGCCGTACCCTGCAACGGTAAGTCAAACGCACGAACTCTCAGGACAGCTGTTTCCAGGAGGACTCGGCAAACCTCAGTAACCTTCCCTCAGGGGAGCACAGGCTTTGGTGGGGGAGGGCAGTGTGCCCAACCCGGGGCTTCTGCTGAGAGCTAGTGAGACATGTCGTGGGAGTCCTGGGACAACAGAATTGCACTCTGGCAAAGTTTGCATTTTGGCAACTCAGGCAGCGCCCAGGCTTGGGACAGCACGGAGAAGATCATGCTGGAGAAAGTCTCCCACTCCTGCGCGGAGGGGAGAGGAGACGGTGAGTGGTCACCACCCACACTCGGACTTGCTGACACACAAGATAGTGCAATAACCTCTGAAGGGGAAAACTGAACCAAACAAAATACAGAAAAATATACTGACTCCTCAACAGAAACATGGTCACCACTGTCCATTCTCATGCATGTTTGGTGGAAGCATAAACGGGAAAAACTCTTTGGGGAAGCAGCAGGTATTAGATGCCATACTCTCTGACAAAGTAATTTTACTTCAAAGAATATAATTTACAAAAATAACCTAGAATAAAAGAAAAGCAATGTGGATAGAGGAGTCCAGTACAGCATTTTATATAAAAACAAGTAAATTATACTATGGTTTGTTCACTTGATGAAATATTACAAGTCATTAAAATGATGCTTAAAAAAATTATGCTCACATAAAGTTTATACTACCATGGGGAAATGCTTATGTTAATTCATTAGGGAAAAGCAGCATATATGACTCTATAGATGCAATCATGATGTGAGGATAATAAATAGCTAACAGAAGTGAATGGATTAAAATACTGTCCATAATGAGGACCACAGCTGTACTCGGGAAATGCATAAAAATACACTATAAAGTATGCACAGAAAAATAAGAAGTAGTTAACCTTCAATGGCAGGCTTTCATGTATTTTCAAATTTTCTACAATGTAGTACATATAATATGAAAACTTTTCAGTGTTTCCAAAGAATACCAAGAGAACTATGCCAAAAAAGAAAAAAAAAGAGAAAATATACCAAAATGTTAATAGAAGTATTCTTTGTATAACTGGCCTTGGGTGACTTTTTTTTTGTTACAGTTTTTGGTATTATCTACATCTTGTAAAATGAACACGCATTTCTTTGAAAAAAACTATACTGCTGGAAATTTTAATTAATTTAATATATTATACTCAATAATGTCACAGCCACTCAACCCAGAGACAAGGTGGGAAGTCTAGGAAAAGAAACTTACACCCACTCCGATGTGAAAAAGCTTTAGAAAGAACAGACTTGATTCGTACCTGGACCTGTGCTTCCAGCACCCCCTCCTCCACCGCCACTGCCAAACATGCCGCCACCTCCAGCTCCGGCACCACTGCCGCCGCCGAAACTATCCGAGAAGTTAGGCATGAGCTTCTGCCGTTTCCTCTGCACTTCCTCTTTATCTGTATTTAAAGGAAGAGAAACCAGAGGAGAAAAGATTGATTCAGTTCCACTACTAGCCACAGAAAGAATATTGATTCTGATGGTATTTTTAAACATCTTAAAGGGAAATAGAAAGCACCCAAGGAGGAAGAGATGCCAAATTTCAAGAAGCATCATATTTATTCCAATGGATACCAAGACCAAGAATCAGCCTCAGAGAGACCACAGAAACAGTCCACACCCAAATCCTCTCTACAACAGTTTCTTAAGTTCCCAATGTCAATCAAACTAGTGAGGGTCTAGACTGCCCATCAAAGATGAAGATACTGAAGATAAGAAAAACATTGGGCATTTTCACTTGGTCATACAGAACAACTAGGACCAAGTAGCTAACATATTTATTATGTATTTACTATGCGCTCAGTGTTGGGCATGAAGAGAAGTATGGCATCATGTCTGTGCTGTTAAGACCCTCCAGTATAATTTCAAGGTTGGGGGAAAGACACTATAGTGCTACACAGTACACGTTAAATTCATGGTGCAAACCAGTATTCCAGAAGTTCAAGGAAGGACTTCTAGGAAGTCCCTTTGGGCTGGAAAATTCTGGAAAGGCTTCTCAGGATAAACTTTATATCAGGAGAGGGCACAGGGAAGATGTTCTGGGAAGGGAAAGCAATGAAGGAAAGAATGTGTACCATGTGCTTATGAAAACAGCAGCGGATCAGTTCAGCTGAAGAGAAAGTTTAGTATGAGGAATTCTTGAGAAATGGGGCTGGTTTGGGCCACACTGTGGAGCACTGGATTATGAACCTAAGGGATTTAACCTACAGGCAGGAGAGCCACTGAACGTTTCTGAACTGCGGAATGATGCGCACAGGATGGTATATTAGGAAGATTCATCTGTCACTGGTGTGTAGGACAAAATAAAGAGTCAAAGTGAGAGGCAGAGACAGTACACACATAAGGTGGTGGAGGCTGTTCCTCAGCAGTCAGCATGATCACAAAAATGGGTGGACCCTAGAGAGAGGGCTCTGCAGCTGCTGGTGACTGAGAGATATGGGAGGCTAGAGGTCTAGGCCCACCCCTTGACTAAAATACAGTGATGCCCTGAGACTTCTGCGTGTCCGGGTCTAGCTGCCATTTAGACTTTCTTCCCTCATTCCTCACCGGGATGCTGTGTTTCTCTCTTGCTTCTCAAGATCTGTGCTTCCCACCAGCCCTGCATTCTCTCACTGCCTTTGTGGTCTATTACTGCGTTCTTATTTCTTCCTTCTGTTTCCCTTTCTTTCTCTTCTCTGATTTTCCTACCATATATTTTTTTTATCCTTTCTCTCTTCTGGGCTGAAGGGGTGAAGGAAGATTTTTGTTTAAATTAAATAAATAGTCAATGTGGTATTCTCTTTTTCAATCAGCAGCCCAATACTTAACAACTGTCCTATTTCTGATTCTTCAATGTCAGTTTTGGTCACTGTTTATGTTCAGAAAGATCTTCACTGATTTCTAATTCTGTGGTTCTTTTAGTCATCCCAGGGCTGGAGAGAACGCTGCTGTTTACTGATTATCTCATGATCATCTGAGTGCAGCTGAAAGATGAAGCAGGGGACAGTAGGGTAGCAAAGCACACTTAAAAATAATCATTAAAAAACTGATCATGTCCAGACTTGTTAGGAAGAAAAAAGCCAACATGGGTCAACTTTGAAGAAAATGTGTTTCCACTAGAAAAGAGTGACCTCAAAGTGGAGAAATCTTAACAATTTCCTTATCAAAGGTCTAGGGCAGATTTATAAAATTTCTCCCTCATCAGCTGTACCATAACTAACTAATAGTCATACTTATTACTCACCCTATAGACTGTTGATCTCACATGGAATATTAGTTCATCAGAAATATGAAACACAGGAGGGAAGCAGACAACTGATTTATCTTCAGAAATAAATGCTACCTACTGACACACTTTGTAGCAAAGAGATCATTTGGCATTTGCTATATACTCCTTTTGACATACAAAACAGAGATATTCACTGGTTATATTTCACTGTAAAATGGGAATTTTTAAGAGTCAATTTAAAAAATATCAACTATCCTACAGCCATTAAGATTTCAATGACAAAAAACTGATAGAGAAAATTCCACATGACAAGTTTTTTAATAAAAGACCTTGCAGTCTGAATTTCCATGGAATTGATCATGGAGATTTTCACACTGGGTTCATTTCTCCTTGTGGTCTGCGTTTGGCAGTGGCACCACAGGAGGTACCATGAAACATGAACCTATTCTAGAAGGACCTGAACGGCCACTCACTACAAGCCCTCCTTTTACAGAAGAGGAAACTGAAGCTGTGATGACTGAGAAACTTGTCTGAGGTCAGGGCAGAGTGAAGATCAGAGCTGAAGTCTAGTGAGCTTTCCATTATATCAGGCCATCATTCTTTGAGAAAGACTCCAAGATATCTTTGCTTCCTTTAATAATCGATGATTTAAGATAATGGTTTAGTTCACAAATGTAGATAAACTTTTGGCCTCTACCACCTTAGCTGTGCATGTGCCTCAAAAGTCCCTCATTCTCATTTTTCAGGTTCTAATTTGCCAGTAATGGTGCATGTATATTTCCTGACCATACTTTTCATAATTTAAAGATTATGATTCTGTTTCTTCCTAATTTCCATCTTTTCAAACTGAAAAGGCATTATTGTCTTTCTTTGCTTTTGTATAGTGGTTTCTCAAACTGTCTTCTTCCCTTGTCAATCATCCCTCTGGTGAATATTTTAATTGTCTTCCCTGGACCCAATCATCTCTCCGCGAGGTTTTTATGAGGTATAATGTCAATGGCCATAGAGGATGCAGAGGTTAGGCCTGGATGATTCTGTACAACAAGAGGAATATGTCTTTCTTTGTCTAACGTCCTACTTGATGGCACCCACCAAATTACTAGCCTTTTGGATAAGGATGGCAACTTGGTTGGTCAATCAACAAGTCAGCTCTCTGATATCTAATAAGCATCTACTATGTGACATATTCTATTCTAGATGCTGGAGATCCAGCAATGATCATGAAAGACCTAAAGAATATTCTTCCAACTGGAGGTAGAAAAAAGACAACAGACACATAAATTACTAGATAAGACAATTTTACATATTTATAAAACAATGAAGAATATAAAATTAGGCAACAAGATAGGGAGTGACTGCAGGAGCTGGGGCCAGTGGAAGGTGTGTTCAATGACTACTGAGAAATGTATACAATGATCCTCTGGGTTGTATAGTTTGGACTTATTTTCATATACTTATTCTTATGTTAAGAGTCATGACCAGTCACGTGTCTGATGTGATTATTTCTCCTTGTGATTATTTCATTTTGGGATTATATAATCCAGAAGGTTTTATAGACTAAGGTAATTTGTTATCTTTTTTTTTTTTTAGGACTGGTAGACACTTTTATTTTTATTTACTTATTTTCATTTTTTTGAGGAAGATTGGCCCTGAGCTAACATCTGTTGCCAATCTTCCTCCTTTTTTCCTTATTTCTCCCCAAAGCCCCAGTAGATAGCTGTATGTCATCATTGTACATCCTTCTAGTTGCTCTATGTTGTACATCCTTCTAGTTGCTCTATGTGGGACACTGCCTCAGCATGGCTTGATGAGTGGTCAGTAGGTCTGCGATCAGGATCCGAACCAGCAAACCCCAGGCTGCCAAAGTGGAGCGTGCAAACTTAACTGCTACGCCACTTGGCTGGCCCTGTTATCTGTAGTAAAACAGTTCTAATCTCGCAATGACTCAATCACAATACATGTTGGCCATTCTCTCTATACAGCTCAACTGCTAAGTCTTATTTTTCCAGATGGTTCTTCCTACATTGTTTGTATTGCATGGAGCTTTTAGTCAATGATAGCCTGGAAAGTTAAGTGGTTGAAGCATACAGATGGGGTTTTGAACTTTCAGGAGAGCCCATCTCTAACTCCAGATTAGACAGCTCCTACTATGACAGGGTAGCAATGAAAGTAACAGTCTGGACACGCCCTTGCTGTGTCATACTCTTTTGATGTGCAGATACCACTAGGAAAGGTACACGGGCAGCCTAGAAACCAAGCTCAGCTCTTAGTGTTTCTAGGCTCATACATGTGTAGGTAATCTGGGTTTCCTTCTTTTATATGATTCTCTGTGTTAGAAAAATTGACACTATTATCAAGACACACATATATATATATATATTTTTTTTGGTGAGCAAGATCAGCCCTGAGCTAATATCCATGCCAATCCTCCTCTTTTTGCTGAGGAGGACTGGCCCTGGGGTAACACCTGTGCCCATCTTGCTCCACTTTATGTGGGACGCTGCCACAGCATGGCCTGGCAAGGGGTGCATCGGTGCACGCCCGGGATCCAAACCCGGGCCACCAGCAGCGGAGCGCGCGCACTTAACTGCTACGCCACAGGGCCAGTCCCTGAAGATATATTTTAAGAGATGAAATCTATATTTTTTCCTCAGAAAGTCCAAAAACTTTTGCCATGTTTCCCTTTTGCATCTACTTTTAAAGAAGGGTGTTTAATCCAACAAGGATTTTCAAATTTTATGCAGACTGAAGCATTCAGAAGACCTCGGCAGCTCTGCGGTGGGGGAGTGAAGAGAGAGGTGAGAGAGCTTCTGGGGAGGCCCAGTGGGCAGGGCTCTCCTCCACCACTACAACCAGACTCTATCTGGCCCATATACCGGGATTTGTGTGAAATTTCACGTGGAGAAACCAAAAGGCCCCTCTGCTGACAAGGTTTTCAAACCACCAGTAACAGAATGCACTACGAATCTGACCATCAGTGGAGAGGTCGCAACCTCAGAAAAGAAACAAGCACTCACGGAACCATCTTCTAATTGCTCCTGCCACAGCACGAATTCTAGGAAAAGAAAGCCCTCTTCCAAGATCACCCCTCACAAGTTGCCGTCACAGGACTCAGCCCCTTGTGGGTCGTGGCTGTGGCACCTCTGTGGTTTCTAGCCTCGGCCAGGACCTGGGTGCCTGTGACCGTCATTGTACTCACCTCCCTCCCTCTCCAGTCTCACTGCCCTCTGACCCAGGGGTTTCTAATGTTGTTTGTACCATGGCCCCTTTTGCAGTCTGGTGAAGTCTATGCATCTCTTCTTAGAATCACAGTTTTCAAAATGTAAAATACAAAACAGGATTGCAAAAAAACCTAATCATATTAAAGTACATTTCTATCCATGTACCCCCTGGGGGTCAGTGTTCTCCAGGTTAAGAAATACCTTTGAACAATTATCCAGTTTGGGGGCCTGTTACACTCATTCTGAGAGGATTCTTGACGCTGAATTCCCCACCCTGCCCTCTCAGGAGTTCCAGTCCTGCCTTTTGACGGGTCTGTTAGGAATCTACCACAGGAACCTAAAAGGCAACATGTTTTAAACTGAGCTCCCCTTTTGCCCACCCAAATCTACCTTTGCTCCCTTGACTCTTTCACCAACACAACCGTATTACAACCTTCCTAGGCAGGGATTCCCAGAACCAGCCGTGACTCCTGAATTTCTCCTTCACCCCCCTGTCAACCAGCATCTGGGTCTTCCTGATGCCATCGCTGCACTGCCTCTTGAACCCACCTTCCCCTTTCATTCCTTGCACTAATACCTTTCCTAACCTCACCCTTTCTCTTGGATCTTGCATTTTTCTTCTGACTCGTCTGCTGCCCAGATAGTCTCCTCAGTGACTGTATAAAGAAGTTGGAGCCATCATTACAAATCCAAACAGGCCTGGTCACTCCCTTGTCCAGAATCAATGCAGAATTCCTTAGCTGCCCATCACAGCACTGTACAGCCCGGCCCTGCCTTCCTCACCTGCCTGGGGCCTTCACTAGTCCGTCTCAGTGCTCATAACGCCCACTTCTCTCTGAATAGACACTAATTGTTTCAGCTACTGAGGTTCCCTAAGCCTAGGAAACCCTTTCCTTCTCTGTTTCACACCCACCTACTGAAATATATCCCCAATTTTAAGGACCTGGAAGAAGCCTTCTTCTTGTAGCTTCTGTAGAGTCAAGAGTTCTTGCTCCTCAGCATTCTCATAGGTGTTTATGAATGCTCTACTTTTGGAACTTACCAAATTCATAAATTTGCATTATAACCATCTAAGGAGACTATCATCTCCCCTTCTCGGTGTGCCTCTGTGAGGAAAAGAACGGTGCTTCATTCATTTTTACAGTTCTGCACTGCACAGTGGCTGAGTCTTCTGCTCTACTGCCGGAGGGCAGTTGTGGAGCGGCTGACTCTTCTACACAGCAAGCCTTATCCCTTTATCTCAACTGCCTGAACGCTGAGTTACCAATAAAAGATAGAGTCTCAGATTCAAAGACAAATTCTCAAATGTCTAAATCTCATAGAAGCTTGGTGGAAACAACATTATTTTAAAAGGCTGGATTGAACTGCATGACCCCAAAATGGTATATTACTCTCTCTTTTCTAAAAATAAGTACCATGGACCCAGGGGCCAGTTACTAGGAAGCTGTTCAAAGGAGGTGACTAACTGATCTTTTCTAATCAGCTTGTCCTCTTATTGGAACAAGCACAAGAATTTAAACAAGTGTGTTACCTTTGATTTCAGGGTAGTAGAGAAAAGGTTTTGGTTCGCTAGTTTCCAAGTCAGATTTCCTCCGAAGTTGGACGAACACAGAGGCTGGTTTTGTAATGTTGACATCTTTATACTTTGGAGTCTTGAAGACGATGGCAAACTGTAGGATACAAAGATCCAAATGTTGGGTAGGCTACATTTTTTTTTCCAGCAATGCTACTCATTAAATACACTCTTTATGTCCAATGTTTAGACACAGTGTACTAAAAAATATAGCACCCTAGAGAAAGTTATAAACTCAGAATTCTATACCCATACATTTTTATCAAACTGCTACTGTGAAATTGAAATATAGGACTATGCCAATGTATTGCAAATCTTTATTATTTCATTTGTCTAGTATTTCAAATGTCTTCCTGTTGTAAATAATCATATGAATAAAATACATTCTATACGCCTCCTTCTCCTCTTCCAAATCAGCCTTAAAAGCCTCCAAGATTATTTACAGCAACATCAGGAAGACTGGATGTGGAAAGAGACAGATGAGGAAAGTGGTACTACTGTCAGCCTGCAGCCCAGCCAACGAGGAGAGGAAACTAAACTCTGTGAGGGAGACGTCACCCAGGGTCAGTGCAATTTGAGGAGAGGATGGCCAAGACTCCAGGCCTACACAGCGCATTCGGCAACACCTCTGAGATAGCTTCCTCATTAAGTTCTGATAGTGCCAGAATAGTGAGGCATTTTTACATTTCTTAGTTTGATTTTTTGACTATGTAATATATTCATAGGGATCAAGACTTTGTAAAATATAAAAGTATACAATGGCACATTGAAAATTCTTCTGGTCACTCCTGTCCCCAATCCAGGCAATTTCTACTGTGTGCCTGCCCCCCAGAGGTAAACACGGAGACATCATTCATTTCTTTTCTATTCTTCTAAAGTTTCTTTATCCATATGCAAACATGAACATAGAATCTTTTTTATATATACTTTGTTTTATATCTATCTTTTAAAGAATTTTAAGGTTGTATCTGTGAGATCTTTCCATATTAGTTCATACAGTACTCATTCTTTTTAATAACTGCATAATATTCCATCACATAGATAAGCCATCATTTAACTGGCCACTTATTGATGGACATTTGGATTGTTTCCAATTTTTTTGTGAAAACAGTATTCCTCAATCACTCAGAGTAATCATTAAGATGGGGATTCAGTATTTTCATCTCTTAGTTATATATTCAGCTGTCACTGGGAAATCTTGATTTATCATGAAGACACCAGCCTTAACCTGAAGACTCCCTCTTTCAACACTTTTCATTAGAATACCCTTTTAACAGGTCTCACCATAATTACCCTGGTAGAACACTGTTGTGGGCTGATTGTGTCCACCCAAAATCCATATGTTGAAGCCCTAACCCTCCTAGGTTGGCTGTATTTGGAGAGAGAGCCTTTACAGAAATTACTGGGGTTAAATGAAGTCCTAAGGGTAGGACCATGATCAGATAGTCCTATTAATGTTCCTATCAAAAGAGACACCAGAGAGCTCACTCTCTCTCTGCCATGTGAGGACACAGCAAGAAGGTGGCTGGCTGTCTACAAGCTAGGAAGAGAGCTCTCACCAGGAACCGACCCTGTCAGACTTGATCTGGGACTTCTAGCCTCCAGAACTGTGAGAAAATAAGTTTCTGTTGTTTAATCCACCCAGTCTATGGTATTTTGTTATGGCAGCCTGAACAGACTAATACGTATACTTAAAACATTTCCACCAAAGGACCCGAGGACCACTGCCTTATGGCTAGGTGATCAGACACTCAAATGAAATGTCTTGCAAGATCTCAGAGTGAACGGTCTAACAGAGGCTTGCTCATAATTCTATGATAGTAACTTTTCTGGAAGACCTGCAAGAGTCTTAAAAATAGTACTCTTTTATAATGTTAAATAAATATTTATGATTTTTCCTTTTTCATATATGGAAACTAAGGACTGAATTTTAGCAAGGCAGAGAATGTAAAATCATCATCATCATCATCCACTTACTTGTCTATGAACGTCTGTGGGGGAAAAGTCTCCAAATCCTTCCCAGACTCCACCATTCTCTTCCTCCTCATAAAATCGGATCTGGATGTCATCTGTGAACGTCACGTTTAGGTGTGTAATTTCACATGGTGTCATTATATTCATAAACACATTGGAAACAAAGCTCGTTCAAAATCCTACCTACTGTGAACTCCAACTTTTTTGAAAGTAATTAATAGACTTTTGACTCATTAAAAATTTTCACAATTACTGAATTTTTATTAGTTACCACAGTAATGGGCCTCAAGTTTCACTGACAATGACAGAATACTAGTTTTACCTATTCAATCTGAGTCTTTTTTTTGGTGAGGAAGATTGGCGCTGAGCTAACATCTGTGCCAATCTTCCTCTATTTTGTACGTGGGTCACAGCACAGCATGGCTTGATGAGTGGTGTAGGTCAGCGCCTGGGATCCGAACCCACGAACCCCAGACTGCTGAAGCAGACAGTGCCAAAATTAACCACCGCACCACCAGGCCAGACCCAATTTGAGTCTTTTAATCAGTCTTTCATCTTCCCACTTCTCCATCCCTAAACCAATTCATTCCTGAGAAGTATGGACAGTGAGGAATATCAGAGTTTCAAAGGTGAGTCAACTCAATATAGATTTACATAATAATACTTAACTTGTATAAAGTTTACTATATGGCAGACACTGTTCTAAGTGATTTATATGTGTGTGTGTATGTGCGTTTATATATTTATATATATATATATATATATATATATATATATATCTCTGTGATGCAGGTGTATTATTAATATTTTCCTTTTGCAGAAGAGAAACTGGAGTCCAGAGAGGTTAAATGGCTTATCCAAGGTTGAACAGCTAGTAAATAGAGAAGCTAGCATTTGAACACAGACGGTGTAGTTTTAGACTCTAGGCTCTTAAACATTCTACTATACTGCCTCCCTATAATACTCATTAATCCAAATTGAGAAACTGTTAAAAACATTATGTTGGTCAAGTCCCTTCAGATTAAATTAGAATGCGTAAATTCACACTTGAGTCATGCATTCTAATTCTGCAGAAATATGACAATGTAACTCAGGTTGCCATCTCCCTGGCTTCACTTCCCACTTCCCAGGAAGGACTGCACTACCGATTTACAAAAACTCAGTTTATATTTACATTTAAGTAGAATTTTAGAAATATCAGGGTTGGATAAGATACCTCATTACCTCTGGTCTGTTCCTTTGCCTCCAGGTAGGACCTTGGCCCTAGTTCTTCAGGTCCTTTCAACCACTGACAAGGCTTCTCTTAACAAGCCACTCCAATGTAAAGATGACGATTAAGAATCACATTTACGGGCCGGCCCCGTGGCTTAGTGGATAAGTGCGCGTGCTCTGCTACTGGCGCCCGGGTTCGGATCCCGGGTGCGCACTGATGCAGCGCTTCTCTGGCCGTGCTGAGGCCGCGTCCCACATACAGCAACTAGAAGGATGTGCAGCTATGACATACAACTATCTACTGGGGCTTTGGGGGATAAAAGGAGGAGGATTGGCAATAGATGTTAGCTCAGAGCCGGTCTTCCTCAGCAAAAAAAAAGAGGAGGATTAGCATGGATGTTAGCTCAGGGCTGATCTTCCTCACACACACACACACACACACACACACACACACAAAAGAATCACATTTACAAATAAAGGGACTCAGATTGTGTCTACTCATAATATGCACACCCAGGAATCTGGAAATGTTTATCACTTGGATAGAATGGGTGAAAAGAAGGCTGATACCAGGACATGCAGAGAAAGTGTAAACTTTTTTGGATAAAGATATACCTTTAAAATCTGATCCCATTTTTTCTGTCTTTTAACCTCAGAACATTTAGCCTCAAATGAGAAATTTTTTTTAAAGCCATATTTCTTTTATTTAGGGGCTATATTTCCAGTTATGCATCTGCTTACTTTGAAAATGTTCATCACTTTGTAGTGAGTACATCTTTATTATAATATACTTTCTGTTATTTTATTTAAAAAATGAGTGAAGTTTGAGAAAATAACACAATCCCCCCCAGCTTTTGCTAATTTATGAATCTTGTACTATACCTAATGAGAGACAAATGCAAGAACCTTTTCTGAAAGTGAAAATTATGAGAGAAACATGCTCTGAGCATTTCCTTATAGTCCTTAATCTTTCTTTTTCTTAACTGACATCAGAGTATTATGTGAAAGTACACACAGAAGCTCTCTCAGTGTTGCAACAAAGCATTGTAAGATTAACAAAAGAAACCATTTTGCACTATGTAAAACATTATTTAGTGTGTGTGTGCATGTGTGTCAAGCATGGGCTATCACTCATTTATTTTACTTTAACTAAGTTCAGATACCAAAGTTTAAAACATAAAAACACTGAAATGTCACTGATTACAATTATCACTATTTTCTTATTTCTCTTTACTTCTGTTGAAAATTTTAAAATGAACCTGTTGGGTTAAAAAAAAATAACACAGACAACTTCAATTTGGAAGAGGTAAATATGTAAATATTTTAAAGGAGTTCTATGGCAGAAGAGGGATATTACTGGTCCACTGCCAAAAAGTGACTCACAAACACACTCAGAAGTATATTTCACATCTTGAGATCAGAGCATACATTTACCTTTTTGAACCTTGTCACAGAGAAGATAGATCTCTTCCCCTCCAGTTACGCATCCAGCTGTCCTGTCCATTCTTACAATCTTCAAGTTGGAGGCGTTGGGGGCTTCTGTTCACAGGAAAAAAACAACAAACATCATGGTTTATCCCTAGCTCCACAATCCAGTCTCCTAGGAGGGACCCTGACCTTAGCACACATCAACCATAAGGAAGTGTCAGTAGATGCTTTCACTCATATTGCTTTAACAAGGATACAAACAAAACAAAAATGCCTTCTGAAGTCCTCAGAGTACTTCTTGGGCCTGGGTCATTCCTCATCACCAAAGGAGATGGGGCCACAAGGGGCAGTGTTTGTTTCTCCCACTGGCACAGTGAGAGAGACTAATATAGAAAGAGAAAGTGTTTCTGATGTTTCAGGAAGTGCCAAGCCAACATACATGTGGAATTTCAATTAGGTCAAGACTTGAACCCCAAACTTATTTCCATGATGCTGATGTACCATCTACAGGGGTCCGAGAAATTTAGAAAAAGCAAAATTTTCTTAAACTATTTATTAATTTTTATTCTGTAGAAAAGAAAAATGGAGATGTATTTCTTTTCCCCAAACTAAATTAGAATTCTGTGTGGTTAGGGGGCAAAAGTTTCATGTGGTAATAGTATAAAGCTTCCTTTTTTTTTTTTTTTTTGCTCCAACAGCTGCATTTTAAGGTGATCTTTGGTATATGAATCTACATCATTTTATAAGTCTTTCAGTTCCCTTCAAACTTGTTTAAATTAAAGAAATCAGTTAGTTGCTGTACTTGGAGCACGGAGCTTTCTATTTAGAGCATACTCTATAAACTTCCAACGAGCCTCAACACTGTCCTTGCAGCTCCTCGGGAACATGTTTAATAAATCCCTTGCATAGCAAACAAGAAATCTGCATGATAAATGCTGGAGACCACCATAAAGCTCTCTGAAAAAATTCCAGGAACTAGAGACTGAAATAGAATTTTGAAACCACATACTATCTATACTGTTCATTCTTATCTTGATAAAGTTCCTATCTGGATAAAGCTATAACATGCGAGAATGAAGATGGATAATAACAACAGTTGTCTTTTATTAACTTCTCTTCAGAGCCTCAATGAAAAAAAATTGAGACATTTTCCCCATTTAAGAGCACCAACAATATATCCTCCTAGTAAGGAATTCAAAAATAAGAAGAGATTTGGCATTACAAGTAAAAGACTAAAATGCACATCTGAGGAAGGAGAACTACGTTTACTGAGCCCCTCATCACTTCATTTTTAATCGGGACATCAACTTTTTTTTTTTTTTGAGCAAGATTGGCCCTGAGCTAACATCTGTTGACAATCTTCCTCCTTTTTTCCTTTTCTCCCCAAAGCCCCAGTAGATAGTTGTATGTCATAGTTGTACATCCTTCTAGTTGCTCTATGTGGGACGCCACCTCAGCATGGCTTGATGAGCGGTGCGTAGGTCCGCGGCCAGGATCTAAACTAGCGAACCCCAGGCCCCCGAAGTGGAGCACGTGAACTTAACCGCTCTGCCACCGGGCCAGCCCCGAGACATCAACTTTTTAAATTAATTAATTTTTTTGTTTGTGAGGAAGATTAGCTCTGAGCTAACATCTGTTGCCAATCCTCCTCTTTTTGCCGAGGAAGATTGTCCCTGGGCTAATATCCGTGCCCATCTTCCTCTACTTTATATGGGACGCCGCCACAGCATGGCTTGACAAGCAATGTGTCGGTGCACGTCTGGGATCCGAGCCTGCGAATCCTGGGCCGCTGAAGCGGAGTGCGCGCACTTAACTGCCGAGCCACCAGGCCAGCCCAAGACATCAACTTTTTAAGCTAGATTTTAGTATTCCCACTTTGTAGGTGAAAACGTGAGGCTGCAGGAATGAAGTTCCTTGCCCGGGACTGGGAGCCAGTAAGAAACTGCCAGTGCGGGGGAAGCCTACTCCCGACAGCGCCCCCAGGGCCTCCTGACAGACATCAAGCACTCACTGCTGTCATAGATGGCGTCTGACACCACGGGCTCCAGGCGCCGCGTGAAGCTGCCCGTGCTGTCTGGAAGAAACGCTGTAAACATGAGCCGCACCACACTGAGGTCCATCTCCTTGGTCTGCTGAAGAGCTGCCTGGCGGATGATCTCCTTTTCCCGATCTAGGCCCAGAGACAGCCCAGTGCATCAATGCCCAGGGAAAGAGTCAAGTGTGAACATTTTAGATAAGATGCTTTTATAAAGCCCAAATAAAGAACATAAACTTAAAATAAAAATCTATTTGTTTCTTTTGAAATTCTTCATATTGCTAGTAAAAGTTTAAAAATGGTCACTTATGTAACCCAAAATTAAAGACATCAAAAGAACACGTGCATTTTCTCTGGATGACAGTAGAAACTGTCCTCCATGTATCAAATTGCCTCTCTCCTATCTTCCCAGGAGGTCTCATTTTTCTCCCTACAAGAAGAGTGAAAGGACAAAGGATGTGCTGGAATGGAACACGAGCAGCTGCCTGTGCATCGGTTGTATTGAGCAATGTGCAAGTATCCAAAAGCTCTGAGCACAGGGACTGTGCTCACCAACAGCACCTGGCACAGTGCCTGGCACACAGCAGGCACTCAGAGCACTGCTGAAGGAACTGAATGACTCAGTTGCACCTGGCTCCTTCCTTCCCTCCTGACAGAGCTTTCGTGCTGATGGATATAGTCGTACTTAACTTATACAAAGTGACAATTCAAGAGATAAGCACTATAAAAGGACTATAGATGAAGTGATATGGAATTTCAAAGGAGGGAAGAATCCAGAAGCTTTGAAGCAGAAGAGACATTTGCTCTAAATCTTGAAGGGATGGTAGAACTTGAACTTATGAAGACATAAGTGAACAAGGGCATTCCAGGAGGAGGGAACAGCAAGAACAGAAAGAGTGTGCCCGGCGGGGCCGTGAGCAATCATGGTGTGCCTGTGGACTAGTTCAGTGCGACATGAAGGGGTGTAGTGGGAAACAGAGTGGAAAATGCAGACTAGGGACAGCTCTTGGGAGGCCCAAAATGCCAGCTTACAGAATTTGCATTTTGTAGGCAACAGGGAGGCACTGAGTGTGGTGAGACACAGGCTTTAGTAAGATCCATCTGGCCATAGGCTGTAAAGTGGACTAGAAGTGGGGAGGGACAGAGACACTGACAATGGAATGAGGGGTGGGGCGCCAGAGAGCACACAACAGCTGCACCACAAGCTGATGAGGAGTCCAAGATGACGTGAAGGCTCTCAGTCTGGATGTCAGAAGACGAAACACGTTTAGTGGAAAAATGATGACTGGTTTTAGATCACCTGAGCATGAGATGATGACAGGATCGCCAGACGAAAGGACAACATATAAAAGCAGAAATGGCACATATGGTGGGACAAGCACTGGGGTTGAAAGAAGAAATATGAATAAAGGCAGGAAAACATAAAAGTCATAGCATTTATATGATAAAGAGAATAGTTTATAATGTGCCTGAAGAGCCCAAAGAAAGATTCCTTATAATAAGGTGAGCTGGGGGGCGCATATAACAGGGGAGGTGGTCTTTGAACTAGGTCTTGAATTATGAATTGGTTTTGACAGGTTGATAAGGGAAGGGTAGGGTGTTTTAGGCAGAACACACATACAAAGGTGAGAATATGCGTCAGTGTTCAGGGGGCAGTGATGGGGAGAGGTGGGTGCATGGTGGGACTGGAGATGAGGCTGGAAATGTGACTGGGGCCAGACTGTGACAGCTTTGTATGCCAGGCCCCGGAGGTATAGATTTTATTCTAGAGGTAGCAGGAGGCTATCCGAGTTTTCCGAGCAGGGAAAGGGTTGGAGCAGCTTGGGGTACAGACAGGAGAAGAAGAAACCCAGGGCATACAGATGAGCACATGGTCTACACACGAGAAAAGGAGAGCGAGCCTGAGCTCTCAGAGGATCGAAGCTGGAAGAGAGAGACTCACCTGTGAGCTGCCGGTCTCCTCCACCTTCCGCCTGCAAGTAGGCAAGATCAGGATGCACCAAAAGTCCTGGATTATAGCCCCTTACACAGGCCTCGGTCATTCGGGCTTCCAGTGTTTCAAATACTTTTTTCTTTGTCACATGAAGTATACCCAGGTTTGCAAAGCTGGAGAAAAAGAACAGTAACAACAACAAAAGCAAAGTTAGGCAGTGAATGACTCCAGAGTCTGGTTTCAGGTAAGTGAGTTTAAATAAAATACACAAGGCCTCAATCGCTGTAGGCCACCCCAATCAAACACATGACTATTTCTGCTGTGAAACATATAAAGTAGACTCACCAAATGGAATAATAAAGACTATAAACAGCTGCACATCAGGTCAGATTGGGTTTTGCCCCCAAATGAGTCTGCAGCAAACTGAGAAAAATCTTTTGTTTTTCAGAGCTTATTAGACTTTCAAATTAAGATTGAGAGAGTAAGGTATATATGTATACATATATACATAAACTCGTTTTAAAGTATCTTCTAGGAGAGCTGCATAAAAAGAATTTTTAATTCCAAAAATATTACTAACTTTTTAATCTTTTTTTAAGAATAGGAGGAAGGATTTTTTTTTTTTCCAAACTATATTTGGAAGGATTTTTTTTTTTTTCACTTTTGGATCATCCTTGGGCTTCCGGATGGATCTACCAGGAATCCCATCTCCTCCTGGGTTATTTATAAGGTTGGAACTATTTATTAGCAGCAGAGTGTCACCCAATTCTACATGTACTCGGGCCTGAAGGGAACCTGTAATCGGGGTGGAGCACCTTTTATCCTACAATGGCCAAATACCTACAGAACAAAATATGCTAACAAGCTAACTGAAGCAATGAGAGGGATTTTTAAGAAAATATATAAAATGCTCCAGCCATTCATTTTAAAATAAAGTACATGAAACAAAGAAGTATATTCAATAAATGTAATACAACAAACAAACAAAAAAGCACTTTTTACCAAGGAGACCCATTCATTCAACAGATATTTACTCAACTCCTTATTTGTGCCAGGCAGTGTCCTCGGTGCTCTGGTTGGCAGTAAAGGAGTCCCCACCTCTACAGTGTACATGCCCGTGCAACAACAGAGAAGACACAAATGAATGAGGGAATGGGACAGCATGATTTAGAAGTAATATGTGTTACCAAGAAAAATAAAGTTGGAATGGAGACTAGGAAAGGTAGCAGTGGAAGGCACAGCACTTTAAAATAGGGAGAGGCCAGAAAGGGCCTCATCGAGAAGATGACACCAGAGCAGAAAGACCTGGAGAAAGTGAGGGGACTGTGGCTATTTGGAAGAAGAGCATGGAAGGCAGAGGAGGAACAGGTGCAAAGGCCCTGCGGTAGGACCATGCCTGGCGTCTTCCAAGGACAACAAGGGCAAGGAGGCCAATGGGGCTGGAGGGAAAGGAACAGGAGGCAGCAGGAAGTGAGGAGTTCAATGAGTAAGCGGGGGCACAGGTCTCTAAAGTCCTGAAAGCTTTTGTAAGGACTTTTCTTTTCCTCTGGTTTTTACTCAGAAAGAAAAAAATATTAGTAGAGCAAAGATAGAAATCTTACGACAACTGGATTGAATGAAACAAAGAATAAGATAATGTGGGAAGACAAGCTAAACTAGGGAAAGAAAATTTAAGAGGTGAGGGCAGAATGAGACGAGCGCTTGTACAGAAGCCCAGAGACAGAATGAGAGACGTGTCCAGACAGTGGCAGGAGAAGGGGGGCAGCTGAGACACACACAGAGAATAAAGCACACCAACAGAATGTGCACTCCTTGAGAGCAGAGATCTCCAGTGCCCAGAACAGTGCTCGACACATGGGTGTCTAATGAATGTCTGTTGAATAAATGAATCCATGGATTAATACAGCACAGAAAAATATGCAACGTGACATACTGACATGATGGAGGCACAGGCAGTTTTTCAGAAACAACACCCTCATCTTTTGGCCTTTTAGGCCTTACTCCTATATAGAACATCCACAACTACGGGAAAACGAGGTTATCTTCTAGGCAACGACAATGACAAACATCTGTGTAGCACTTCACACATTACCATCCAAAAACGCATTTCATGAACATTATTTAATTCAGTCACTGTGAAAAAGGCATCATCCTTATAATTTATTATGTAGATAATGAATTTACTCTAGTAATAAATGAAACATGGAAGTCAAGTCTTCTGCTTCAGGTAATGATGGATTAATGGAGACTGATTGAACCTCTCACCTTAAACAACAAAAAGCACAGGAAAAAAATGGTTTTCAGACACTGGACAACAGATAGCCCAGGACAGTGATCCTTAAGAAAAGGGAAACAGGGCCGGCCCTGCGGCTTAGCGGTTAAGTGCTCGCACTCTGATGCTGGCAGCCCGGGTTCGGATCCCGGGTGTGCACCAACGCACCGCTTCTCTGGCCATGCTGAGGCTGCGTCCCACATACAGCAACTAGAAGGATGTGCAACTATGACATATAACTATCTACTGGGGCTTTGGGAGAAAAATAAATAAATAAATAAAATTATAAAAAAAAAAAAAAGAAAAGAAAAGGGAAACAAATAAGGTGAATCCTACAAATATGCTGCCTTAATGCCTCAAGTGTCCAGAGTGCAGCATTGGAGGGGGCCCCAAACAGGGCCTGGTGATTTCCCCGAGTTCAGAAGACAGAAGAGGCCAAGGAGGCTAGAATTCAAAAGCCAAGCACCAGAGAGGAAAGAACCACACACAGAGAGACACTCCGAGATGCACAGGGCTCCGCCTCGTATCCTCAGCTGAGTCCTATCAGAGCATGTCTGTGAGCAAATGACCCAAGGCTGGGAAAAGAACCACCAGAAAGGAGCAGGCAAAACAATTCCTGGAGCACATCCAGGGCTGGACTGGCTCAAGAAATCTTGTAATACACGGATCATCAGGTTTAATACTCAGAAAGGTATTGCCTTAGTCATGGTGCCAAATTGACCCTACACTAAAGGCTGCTCTGGTCTCCCTAACAAAGCTTAAAAGTAAGTCTAGAAGGGATCAAACTGTTCCCAAATTTAACTTCATCCCAATGCTCAAAAATGTTTAAAGGCATACCAAAAAAAAAAAAAAAGCAACATGCAATAATCCAAAATTCAAAGTGTCTGTCATTTAATCAAAAATTACCAGGCATGCACAGAAGCAGGAAAATACAACTCATAATAAGAATAAAAATAAATCAGTACAAACAGACCCAGAAATGAGACAGAATACAGAATTTGTAGACAACTACATTGAATAGCTATTATATTCCACATGATCAAAAAGGTAGAAAGCATTAGTACATTAAGAAGAGACAATGGAAGATATAACAAAGACCCCAAACAAACTTATAGAGATGAAAACTTCAATGTCTGAGAAGAAAAATACACTACATGGGATTAAGAACATATCTGACATTACAGATAAAGAGATTAGTGAACCTGAGGACACAGTAATAGAACAATCCAAAATGAAACAAAGAAAAAGGACGAAAAAATTAAAAAAAGAACAGATAATCAATGAGCTGTGGGACAATTTCAAATGGCTTAAGAGACATGTAATTGGTGTTCCAGAAGAAGGGGAAAAAGAAGAGTGGTTGGAAAAAATATTAAAAATAATGGCGACGTAGCGTTTAAGTGTGTGCACTCCGCTGCGGCGGCTGGGGGTTCGGATCCTGGGCGCACACTGACCCACTGCTTATCAAGCCATGCTGTGGCGGCGTCCCATATAAAGTGGAGCAAGATGGGCGTGGATGTTAGCCCAGGGCCAGTCTTCCTCAGCAAAAAGAGGAGGACTGGCAATGGATATTAGCTCAGGGCTAATCTTCCTCACACACACACACACACAAAAAATAATGGCTGAAAAGTTTTAAAATTTAATAAAAACTATAAATCCAGAGATCCAAGAATCTCAATGAACCCCGAAGCACAAGAAACATGAAGAAAATCACACTAAAGACTGTTATAATCAAACTGCTTAAAACTTGTAATGAAGAGAAAAACTGAAAAGCTGATAGAGAAAAAAACGACACACTATGTGGAGAGGAACAAAGAGAAGAATGACAGGAGACTCCATTGGAAATGAGGCAAGCCAGGAGACTCTAGAGCAGCATATTTTAAGGATGTGGAAAAAACCACTGTCAACCTAGAATTCTATACTCTTCAAAAATATCTTTGAAAAACAAAGATGAAATAGTTTAAAAATGCTCAACAACTGAAAGAATTTATCAGCAAGCAGCAGGCCAGTAGTACAAGAAAAATTAAAGGAAGGGCTCCAGGCAGAAGAAAATGATACCAGACAGAAATCTTGACGTATGAAACTGAATGAAGGGAACTGCAAATGGTAACTACGGGGTAAATATAAATACTTTTTTCCTTATTTAAAATTTCCTTAAAAGATAATCGGCTGTTTAAAGCAAAAATATAAAACAATATATTGGGGGATTTGTAACATATGTAGATGTAAAATATATGACACAATAGCACAAAAGATGAGAAAGGGGAAATGAAAGTATACTGATCATATACTATACACAAAGACGCATAATGTCACTTAAAGGTAGGCTAGGATAAGTTAAAGATGTATGGTATAAATCGTAAAACAACTGCTAAAAAATTAAATGTCCAATTAAAGGCAGAGAGTGTAAGATGGAATAAAAAGTACTACAACTATATGCAGTGCATATTTACTTTGAATATAAAGACATGAATAGGTTAAAACTAAGAGGATGGGAAAAAAATGTTCCAAGCTAACATTAATCAAAAGAAAGCTGAAGTGGCTATATTAGTACCAGTCAAGGCAGATTTTGGAGCAAAGAATATTACTAGGGATAGAAGAGGGTCACTTTCTAATGATAAAGCGGTCAAGTAATTAGGAGGGCATAGGAATTGTAAATGTTGACATATCTAATAAAAGAGCTTCACAATACAAGAAGCAAAATGTTACAGAACTGTAAGGAGAAACAGATGTACCTATAAATGTAGTCAGAGATTTCAACACCCCTCTCTCAATAATGGATAGGACATGTAGAGAGAAAATCAGTATGGATACAGAGGACTTGAACAGCACTATCAAACAACTGGACCTAACTGACATTTACAGACATTCATTCAACTTGATCAGGCTAATCATTCTTCTTAA